ATTATCTCAAGTTATTTTCATCAGAGTGCAAAGTATATGTGTAACTTTGTGTATGTGTATATGTGTAAGAGAACAGATATTTCCACACATCTCCATAAATTCTTTATGAAACAGAATAATAAAACTTGACTGCTTTCCAAATGAGCTAATCATCATCATTTACTTAAAACACTGCAGTCAACATACCTTCTGTCATATAACATAGTCCTTTGAGACACAAAACCAGACAGTTTTATTTTTTCTTTTCATACTGAAGTCAAGGATTCGTTATTTGTGTTGAGTAATTTCATGGCTTTCTTGTAATAAAACTTTAAGAACATTCGGAACAAGAAAAAAGCACCCCCTGCCATTTAAAAAAAGAAAAAATATTAAAATTGTACCCTGAAGCATATTTGCCTTCAGGAATTAAGTATATCTTCTAGTGAAAGCTAAAAATTGTGTGCTCCTGAGAAGCACAGGAAATGCAAGAGACAGTCAAAAGAAGCAGAACCATGGACTGCATCTGAAAATGGCTGTACAATTCTAGTGTATAGCTTAAAAATACATATTTTTCTCACAAGAAATACTGACCAACAACAACATACTGGTTACCTATTATCCCATCCCAGTTATCTTTTAACCCACAATTATCTAGTGAATTCACATTACTGCAAGCCTTCTCCTATTGTGATTTTATTATATAATCTAAAATAAATCAGCTCTGGTGAGGCTGCACCTGGAGTACTGTGTGCAGTTCTGGGCTCCCCAGTATAAGAGGGACGTGGAGCTTCTGGAGAGGGTCCAGAGAAGGGCAACCAGGATGATTAAGGGAATGGAACATCTCTCGTACGAAGAGAGGCTGAGTGAGCTGGGCCTGTTTTCTCTGGAGAAGAGAAGGCTCAGAGGGGATATGATTAATATGTATAAGTTCAGGAAGGGAGAATGCAGGGAGGAAGGGGACAAGCTGTTCTCACTGGTGGCCAGCGATAGGACGAGGGGTAATGGCCACAAGCTGAAGCATAAGAAGTTCCGTCTCCAGGTGAGGAGCAACTTCTTTACTGTTAGGGTGACAGAGCAGTGGAACAGGCTGCCCAGGGAGGTTGTGGAGTCTCCTACTCTGGAGGTCTTCAAAACCCTGTACCACATGCTGTAGGTGTGCCTGCTTGAGCAGGAAGGTTGGACTAGATGATCTCTAGAGGTCCCTTCCAAACTTAAATATTCTGTGATTCTGTGAAATCATTTCAATTTTACCACTTGCACACACACCTACCTCTCTGAAGATCTTTTTCAACATCTCTCTAAGCTTGTAAGCAAAACTTCCATGGGAGAAAAATATTCACAGACCAGAAAGAGACACAGCACTTTCCTTGCATTCCAAAAAAAGCTTCTGGAAATCTCCCACCCTTCACTAAAGACAAAAGCTGTCTTTCAACGCATGTCAATGGCAGCACACAGACCTATCACAAACAATGCACTCCTACCACATTATCCATTGAGCAATTAAAAACAGCATGACAATGCAGATTGGCAAAGGAAAGGCAAGAAGAACACATTAACAAATCAAGCTTGGCCTTTGCCAATATCTGAAATCTTTCCTTTGCAAACTTTGGAGCTTCTAGCGACTGCAAATGAATATTGTCTGTCCTGACTTTCTGGCACATTTGGCTGTCATCACAACAGCTAAGGGCTAAAAACAAGATCTATTATGCTGGCCAGCCAACTAAATAGATATGCTGTTTTCGCCTTTGAGTCCCTCGGCTGTGGTAGCAGCCAATGGACAAAAATCTCCTAAGAATCAGTTGCATAAGAGCTACCAAAGAGCTTGGAAATTGATGTTTTCTAAGGGCTTCCTCAGGTTGCTTTTGTTTGATGAAAAGCACAAAGCTAAACAATGGGCAATAAAAAAAAACTAAGCTTCTGACCAAGGGGGAAAACAAACAAACAGAAAATCCACCTCTGCTCAGTAGACAAGTGAGGATCTTTTTGCTCAAAATACCATCAATGCTGAAAAGTACAACAGTCAGAACAAACAGCCTGACGTAGCCAAGGAAAGAAACAGATGGTAGCATGTAATGCTAACAAGAGAGCACAGTCCTTAATGAGCTCAAGTTTGGATACCTTGAAAATTGATAATCATTTTTTTTCTGGAAAGCAATCCTTTAATATGTATGCACTACTCTTACACATATGCAGAAGAGACACTATAACCAGAGAGCGGGTAGTACAAAGTTTGGAAAAACAAAAATCTCTACCAATTAAATACAGCATGTAATTACAATGCTTGCACTGGGACAACAGTATCTAAATCTTCAAGCCATTCAGAGACTTCCTTGGAAAAAGTAAACAATAAAAAGGAAATGCTGAAAAGCCACTCCATTCTAACACAGTTGCCTTTTCCAATCTGCCATGGTCAAGTCAATGGTTACTGGATGCCAGGAACCAGAATCAAGACTGCAACCTGCCGCAAAAGGAACATTACTATGCCCGTTAAAAGGATATATACCTTTGCTGATCAGCTTGTTCACCTGTGTTATCATTATGCCAACACCTCAATCATTTAATATTTTTCCCCAGCAATACAGAGGGAAACAGTAGATGAAATTATTTTTCTTGTTGTGTTACACATTTGGAACAAGTCCATAAGATCCTTTTCCGTCCCAGACACTTGTGCCATCATATTTCAGTGAAAGGAGACAGTATGGCAAAACCAAACTATTCTAGCAACTCTTGCCTACAGGAAACCTCCCTGGCATTTACAGTTAGAAGACAAGGAACCATAGCTGTCCAGTTCTAGTTAAAAACTCACTGGAAATAGGCAGAAAAAGAGAGAGCCATATACAAAGCACAAACTCAACAGAAGACAAGACATAAAGCTAGAATAGTTTATTTGTTCCTATATTGAAACAGATGCCTGAAAAGATGCACTGTAGGCTTGCACAAGTTTAACCACACCTGTCTGTGGCAATAGACAACACTATCTGCTTCTGCTCACCAGTCAGAAAGGCAAAGGTGAAGGAACATTTCTCAAGATAATAAGTTACCAACTCAGGAAGGGCCACCTGATCTAACAAAGCTGCAGAACAATGCTACCTTTTCCTCACTGCACTTTGATGTGCATGAAGCTGATTTACACTCACGGATGTGTGATGCTGGTCAGCTGAAAATGAACAGGCATGCTGCTGATGAACTGCTTCATCTATACCCTGACAACTCCATGTTTCTTTCTCTCTTTAGGAAATAAATTGGAACATGAGGAACAAAACGTAATAAAAAAGAGCAAAGAGCAATTTGCTCTGTTGTCAGTATACGGGGCCTCCATCACAGCAGGAATGCTAATCTCCAGCTGCAATGACAAGCACTTATTAGCTATTTATGGAGTTCTGTGCTTCTTTACTTGCTCCAAATGTTTCTGCATTCCCTGCCACTTTAATTTGCGTGTGAGAAAAGAGAGGAAGAAAAGGAAATGCCATGTTATATCCTTATAGCACTTCCCAGCTCTCAAGTACACATTCAATTTAGTGTTGTTATCTGGTGACTACTTAAACACACTTTGTGAAAGCTTCCAGAGGCAAAATCACTTATACATTTGGGCCACAGCTCAGATAAAACAATTAATGATAGTGCAATTAATTGCAGCTACAGCATTCACAGATTTGGTTTTGTTTCCTAAAGAGCAGAATCTCAGTAGTCTGAAAATGGCATGAGACAGCTTATCACAATTTAGCAGGAACAGTGCCCTCCAAGCTAACAGAAGTTCAATCATTTTCCTCAGTGGGAACAGAATCAGATAAAAAGGGAAACAAAGTTCACTTTCTCCATCTAGGAATACAGAACCAGGAGAAAGCTTATGCTTTCTCAAGAAAGGTTTGCACACTTTGACCCTCAGGGATAAGGCCTACTTCATGAAAAGGATTTATCTCCCCACAATTTCACTCTTTGACCAAAAAGCTGACACTTGCCATTACTTAAATTGAACAGGATATTTTTACAGGAAGAAGTATTTGCCTGGTTGGCCAGCTAAAATGTAAGTTTTTATAGCCAGAAGTGAAGATACTGTACAAGAAGGGAATTTTAAGAATACATTTTACAGTTCAAATTCAGTAGACTCTGCTACTCTTTCTTCAGGGGACTACAGATTTTATTTTCTAATACTTATCCTGACAATAATACAAAAATAAACTGAAAACTTCAACCTTTCAAACATTAACAATGCATGCTAAGCAAAGAAAAGCATTCTAAATAAATCAAGTTCTTTAAAAAGCTAGATTCATTAGCAAGGACCACTACACACAGGCCCCATACCACAGGTAAACAAGGAGCTTAAGTCTCTCCTTCTTCTAAAAGTGAAGGAGGTAATTTTTATTTTGAGATGATTATGTAATCTAGGCAGCAAAGAGACAATTACAGCAGACTGCTTAGGATCCTGGTGTAGGTGCTAGATTATTACACACATCAGTATAAGAGTGCCTATTTCCCATTCGTTTCAATGGCAAATAGTTACTTAATTGGTCATTTAATGCTGGCCCAAAATACTCAAGAATGGTCCCTCTGAAAACTTAAGCATTTGCTGACATTAAAAGAGAACTTTACAGTTTAGAAGTACCAGGAATGACTGTGAGTAGCACAATAACTCAGTGACATTGACAAAAAAGTCCTTTTGCAAATGTTGATCACAGGGAATACACAAAACACTGATGCTGGTCCTGTAATCCATCTCATGCCTGTTGAGCTCCGAGTCTGGTACAGTCCCACTGAAGTCAATTAATCAATGATATTACCTGGTCTGCCAGAGAAGAACATCCTTCCTGGAATTAAAAACTAGATTATTCTAACTAATTTTTCAGATACTAAAATATCTGATAGTGATATTAAAATATCACCTTACATCTTTTAGCTATGGGACACCGTAAACGGTACTTCTATTGAATATTTTAATAAAGAAATATCAGATGACAGATTGCTTTAGCTTTCGGGTCTTCTTGCTAACTTTAAATTAATAAGTAAGGCAAGCTAAATATTACCTTGATTTTCCTCTAGCTTCCCAATTGTTTCTATCTGCTCAACGAGGTCATTTGAGTTCCACTGGCTCATGCCTATTAGAATTGCATTTTTTCCTTCCACCATCTCTTCTGGGAGAAAAAAAAAAAAAAGGAAAGCAGAAAAAGTTGAAGTGACAAACAAGAGAACTTTCAATGTGTGTCAGTAATTATCAAAGAAGTAAGGAGGTTGCTATGATCCCTAACGGGAACATAAAACAGGCCAGTATACACAGAACTTTCTCTAATTTAAGTTCCTAGAAAAGTCATAGCTCTAGAAATATGATGAAATTATTACAATTCTAAATCATTGACCCCACTTGGAGTGGGCATAAAATCCCCTGTGTCAGGAAGGCACAAAACTTCCCCTTCCTATCTAGGGCTTGCAAGCACATCTGAGTTTCTTCTTACAGTCTACCCAACAACAGCTGGCAGATCACCATTTACGGCACCTGTAGTGATCACAACCAGAAGATTATTGTATACAAAGTAGTTATTGATCCACATAACAGATAAACTAAGCAGGCACTGTGCTACAATGAATGTACAGCTTGGCCTTGAGGCTTCTGTTGAACTGCACATATTCCTGTCTGACAGATAAACTTAGCTGACTGAAAGTAATGGAAGAGCCTGAAGACATATTTTAAGGATCTTGTAAATTTGTAAATTGCTTAGCTCTTTAATTCTTTGTGAATTGCTTCTTGATTCACAGCAGAACTGGGAAAAGAACTGGGAGAGGAGGACAAGTCTTCAGCTGACCTCGAGCATCAAAGAATTCATCATCGGAGCTCTCCACTGAGTCACTGAGGATGTTCTGCACGTGCCACTGAGAACCACTGAATCTGCGCGGGCCAGCTGGAAATACAGACAGATTCGCATTAACTCAGCAGAATACTCGCATCTGTTCCAGACTTAAAGAATAAAAAACTACATTAATAAAAAATTTACATAGATAGCTTGGGATCATTTTGTTTAATGTATGTAATTCAACTTAACCAGACAGTCAGACACTAATGGTACTGCTCACAAGGCTCCTAAAACCTGTCCTTCACTCTGAAGACGATTTTTGTCCAAATTCTTATTTGCGTTAAAAGGCACAAAACTCCAAAGAAAAGAGGATATCTTCTAGGCTTTAAAAAACATAGTAGGAACTTAAAAGGCAAAATGAATCAAACAGAATATAGACCATCAGCTAGCACAGAAGGAAGCATTTGTTTAGTTTTATACAAATGGGAAACGAACAAATAAAAAAATCCACGTGGCATATTTCATTATCTCATTAACTCATTGTATTATTTTTCTTCCATCAGTTTGGTTTTTATCTATATTGCCCTAGCTTTAGAACTGAAACTCTTACCAGCATGCAACTGATATTCCAGGATCATACATCAAAACTATTTCTTCATCCTTCAGAACTGCAGCCTCTGCAGAACTATATAGGGAGCTATATAAATTATATGAAACTTCCTGTGTTTGGATTTGTACCCATTGCCCCTTGTCCTGTCACTGACCAACATCCAGAAAAGTTTGACCCCATCCTCTTTACATTGTCCCCTCAGGTATTTGTATGTGTTGACAAGATCCCTTCTCCATCTTCTTCAGTCCTCTTCTCCAGAGGAGATGAATACGTTTACTCTGGACCTCACTTTCAGGATACAGTCATAAACATAAACATTTAGGATCCACTTTATCAGAAATGACAGCCATCTTAGTGGCTTCAATACTTAAAACTCCCACAATTATATGCTACCTATAATTAACATCCATAGTATCTCTTTCTAAGCTAAGCCTGCTTCTTTCAGACTCCTCTATGATGTCACCATGATGCCCCTACTATCACAACATAAGTTAAAATTTGCGGATTATGACATCTCCAACAGAATTTCAAGAGATAATTAGCAAGTTGAGGTAACAATTTTCTAGGGAGGAAAAAACAGTTTTGATTAAAATGTTTTACAATAGATGCTATTCACAAGTTTTACTTTCAGCTCACCTTACTAAAGTTCATTTTCTATCCCTGAGATTGTTAGTGAAAATGTGCACTATCTCCTAGAAATATTAGTGGAATATAGCACAGGAATTATAACAACAGTGGAAAATTGAAAAAAGCAAGATTTTGCAACTTGTGCTTGGGATAAATCTGTAAAGCTCTAAAAAAAAAAAAAAAAAAATCAAAAAATCATTTGCCATTATTGTTTTTATTGTTTGTCATCATTTCTCCACTGGATACAAAAAAAACCAATGCATTCCTAAAATAAATCAGTTAAACTAGCACAACTCCTGATGCAGAAAAGGATCAGAATCCCCCAGACACCTTGACGTTATTTCACTGGGTTACTAATGCAAATTTCTATGAAAATTCCTAATCTTGAACTCACATTTAACTTCAGTTTCATGTCCAAAACTCTCCTAGGTTGATAACAGGAGTATGCAAAAGCACAGTGTAGGCTCCCTAAGAACCACAGAACCGATTGTCTCTCCGATGCTTCTGTTGAAAGCAAGATATTTAACCACAGATTTGCTTTACATTAAGAGGTGGTAAAAACCAAGAGTAGGTTTAGCTGATAACAGCAATACAAAACCACTAATCAAACCCCTCAAACATTAAAGCAAAACTAGAAGAAACATTGATGAATACCATTATTCATCTTACCCCTCTCCATTTTCATGGCCATTTTCCCAGCGCTCAACACCAGAAAGCAGCACATCTCAAATAGCCACAGACTGATGCCAAGTAAGGACCCATGTGGCTGATATCTATAATTACATCTGCTAGCTACTACACATCATACAATGTGCAAACCTACATGCTCTGGAAACATATAGATGTTAGGTTCACTATTTAAGGGCAGATAGAAAGGCTGTTAAAACAAAGAATCCTCAGTAAATTCTAATTATACTTCAGAGAACCACTAGATAAGCATGCATTAGTTCTCTCCATGCAGAGAAAGATCATAAAAGTTGTTGCATCTCTCTACGCAATCTTTTTTTTTTTTTTTTTTTTGCCAATCAATTTTCATCATTTATCTCATAATTAAGGGAGAGGGGCAATTAATTCACCCATTTCATGCCCACTTTTCCTAACATTCTGTTTCTGTGTCTAGAGTAAAAGTATCTTAAATCAGGCTCATATTGAGAAACTTTGGGCGTGAGCATCTATAGATGTGTGCATGTACAAATGAAATCAAGGTAAAGACATACAAACTTCAAACATGAAAAGCAATCCCTGGTGCTGATACACCAGTAGAAGTTGTGACAGACAAGTAGTAAGAACAAGCTCCTGATTTGGAAGGTAGCAAAAGGCAAGGCAAGAACATATAAGCGGAAGAAAAGGAACAGAGAGGTAATTCTGAAATTATGTGAGTTGTGAAAGACAGTATGTTGAGGCTGAAAAGCTCTAGGGAAGGAACTTGAAGGACACTCATTGAACGGAATGGAGAATGGATGTTACAGTAATACTGTGCACAGAAGTGCTGGATGGACAGAGGTGTGATATCAAGACAGGATTTTTAAGAGGTAGCAGAAGGTTTTACAGGTAGAAAGAAGTAAGAAACAAGAGAGGAAGCAAAGCATTAAGTGAAGAATAAAGACAGCAATTTTGGAAAGTGAGTAGCTTAGGAAGGGAAAGAGAAGTAGCTTGAAGACAGGCAGCACAATGGAGCAGACACCAATAAAGCCTGGATGGAGAAGGTGAAAGGTCAGGAGCTCCTGCCATCCACACTGCAGTTGCATCACTGCATGAACAAAAGAGCTGAGAAGAGGGCTGACCAAGCCAGAGACATAGTTAAAGGCCAAAGGAGGAATCCCCACAAAATACAGATGCCTATGTTAAGAAATCAAGTGCAATAGCTAAGTGGAAGAACAGTCCAGACACCAGCATGGCAGAAATACACAATATATCCAACTCCCATCTCCCACAGCTCACTGTGTCTTTCCTCTAAAAACATTTCAACACCAATACTTCCTTGGTTACCTACTCTGTGCCTCCTTCAGCTGACAGTTCTGCAGCAGATGGCGTGGACAGGCATGCGCTTGCTCACAAAGAACAAGAAACAAAATAAAAACTCAGCCATTTAAGACCCTATTTTAAAGTACCATTGATGTTTCTAGACTTGTATCTTATGCAATCACTGCTAACTTCAAGGAAGAGAGGGGAGGTTCCAAATGTCAAATTCCAGACCAAGCTTTCCTGTTATAGCAGTTCATCTCCTAGAGCTGTTTCTCAATGCTTCAGATACCAACTCTTCCACAGCAGAAATTAACTTCACCCTCCCTCAGCATCACCACCTCCTCCAAACTCACTCTCCAAAATCAGAGAAGTTAAGAGTATTCTCTAACCTTTTCCTGCGACAACTGTAGGTGGACTGCCTGCATCACATCTTTAGCGCCCAACTTTCACAGTGCAGAGATTCTGGCTGTCTGGGGAGGATCTGGCATTTTTGAGTCACTGCAGCATGTTGCAAAATGAATTAATACATGAAGATGAGATACCACAGCACCCATAGGAATATGGCCAGGTAGTGATCTGAAATTGCTGATAGGTGGTTTGCAATCCTTAGTCCTGCAAACACCCAGTCTTTCTGCACTGAGACTTTATTCCAAGGCCTTTATAGTCCACTAGGTCAGCTCTGGCTGTTCCAAGTCAAACTGACCAGTTCTAACGCCCTTCATGAGCATATATGTCATTCAAGAATGATCAAACAGCAGGTATCATTGCTGCAGGAATAAAAGTCTTCCTTTATACTTGCAACAGCGCAAAGAAATTGAAGTGGTAGCAAGGCAGGGAACGTATGAGCAAGACCTCCATACATAACTATACCTGCACATCTCAGTTCATAAACTGCAAGCAGAAATCACCAAAAAGGCGAATTTCCATTGCTCCTAACCCAGATATGTGCTGGCTGAGCTCCTTTGTGCATAGTAACCATTCTTGCTTTTAAGACAGTAAGGGCTGGCAAGTAAGGGGTGGCAATATCATAAAGCTGGCATCAAGTCATGGTTTTGTCTAGAAGAGAAAGTAGATTCACGCCCAAGAGAAGCACCATCCTTTAAAATTCCTGTGCAAATAAAAATGTGTTTGAACATGCACACAAACTGCAGAGTGCTTTGGCCAAAGAGTACTACAAGTGAAAATGCTTATTTTTGTATCAATGATAAAGGACTGCAAATCAATGATCCCTCAAGATCAGTAGAATTTTCATTTTCTTTCTTCATCTACAAAAAAAAAAAAAAAAAAAAAAAAAAGAGAGAGAGAGAGAAAAGATCATTTAGCTCAATGTTACATTTGCATGTTCTGAACTGACAGATGCTCTCATGCTCCAGAGTGCTGTTTGTCAAGGCTGACCCTTTGTCAAGGGTCCAAGCCTACCTCAGGGCAATAACAACAACAATACAACAATAAATTCCACTGGATAATAAGCTTTGTTTCAGCTGTAACACAACTGTACCTCTCTGAATCTGCACCACAACGAGCAGAACATACTGCAAGCACCACGCCGATTTTACACGCCAAGCTCAATCCAGGCACTGCCAGACCTCATCCCCCAAGAAAGGGTTGCAGGTCTGTGCAACACCGCGGCTCCCTCGGCAGCAAGCGTCCCACCGCAGCCAGCTCACCGCAGGGCACCCGATGCGGGGCACCATGGCCACTAGGGCCTCCTCGGCCCTGGCCGGCGGGGGCTCCCAGAGGCCTCGCTCGGGGGGCGCAAAATGCAGGGCCGAACTGCCGCAGGGAAGGCGGCGCCCGCCTTCGCCTCCGAGCGGCTCTTTCCAATGAGCCGCCGACTCGGCTTCCCGCACCGCACCGGCACGGCGGGGCTGGGCCCGGGCTGCCCGCTCTGTCCGGCAGGCCCTCGGCCCCGCAGCTCGGAGAAACCACGAGGGCAAACGCAGCTCCACGCGCGGAACTCAGCGGCGCCCTGACGAGGTCACCACGGCGCTCACCACCGCAACAGCGGCGAGACGGGGGGCGCCCGGACCAGACCGGTATGGACCGGCACGGACCGACCCGCGACACGCAGAACCTCCCACCCCCCACTGCGGCTCCTGCTCCCACACCATCCCCACGCGACTCCCCCCCGCCCCAGGCTGCTCCCTCCGTAGCATCCTCCCCCGCGCGGGTCCCGCAGCCCTGGGCGGGCGCTGCTCACCTGAGCGCGGAGCTTCCGCCATGGCGGGACCACCACCGTTCCCGCCACGCAGTTCGCGGCCGCCTCAGCCGCTCGCCCGCGGGCCTCCCCAGCTGCCCGTCCCCCGCCTCCCCATCGCACGCCGAGAGCGGCGGCCGGGCGCCCACGCTCCGCTCCGTTTCGCCGCACCGCCCCGCGCAACTGCCGCAGCCGTTAAAGGCGCCGCGGGGTGCTGCTCCTCAGGCGGTGGCCGCGCCCCTCCTCGTGAGGAGGCAGCGCCGAGTCTCGCAGCTCTGCCCGCACCTGTGCCCACCAGTTGTAGCGCACCTAGGGGAGCCAGACCGATCCGCTGCCCTGGGACACAGGTGTTCTTGGGCATCTGGGCTGGTTATCATGGATCCGGGGGCTGCCTCCCGCCCCGCAGGCACCTCATGCCCGGCGCTCCGGGGCTGGTCCCTGCCGAGCTGCCATGGCAGGGCACGGCCCACGCAAAGGGCGGCCGCTGAAGGCAGCTCTGGAGGTGTTGCCGAGGCCTGGGTCACTGTGGTGTGAGCCCAGTAAGCAGAAGCCCAGTAAGCAAGCAAGTTGCACTGTTAAGAGGAAAGAGGGAACTTTCAGGGCAAAACTATCACCTCCTTCCTCCAGAGCCTTGCCAGAGGCATTTCTCTAGCATAATCAAGGAGAAAACAGAGAACAGCAAGCTTTCTGCAGGATTTTCAAGATTTAGGAGAAACTCTCCTTCGGAAATGTCTCTAGTGCCTGCTCCTCCTGTGGGAACAGTTAGATAACAGAACAGATAGGCAAGGAGCCTATAAGAGGCTGTACTTCATGCACAGCATGTCAGAAGAACACAACCAAGCAAAGTATACGTGGTAAAGAAAATGTTTGCCCAAGGAAGCATACAGGTAAAGAGCCATGCAAACACAATGCAACCAGTTCTAAAGTAACTGACAGGCTCGGTGCCAATATGGATTTGGTAGGTATAGAAATAAATGTGCAGTTTGCTCTGGATGTTGCTAAACAGTTCATTCAACCATACACAGCCAGTAGCATGGAGAACCATGTTTCAAACGCAGAGAGGGTTAAGTAGCTTTGTCTGAAGTCAGTAGGCTCTGGTGCAATAACCACTCTTCTGAGCCCACAGCCAGGTGCAAGCGAGCTAACCATAGTTCACCTCTCTCCATCCATGAGTGACAGTGCCTGTGCTGCAAAGGCTGGCCTAGAGCCAGAGCTTCCCCTCTTTATCATGGAGACCTATCCAAAGTATTTGACCACATAATGGCTTCCCCAAATACAGTCATGAAACCACCAAATAAAGTAATTACAGAGAAAGTGATGGACAAATAATGCTCGTCTCGTTCCTGCTGTTCAGTATGGGCAAACCTGCACTAAGCTTTGCTTTTTGTTACGCCTGTGCAGCCTTGCTATGTAAAGGCAGAATCCCATCCCCTGTTTCCACAGCTGATGCTGTCACCTGTGCTGAAGGCCAGCATAAGGCTTATGCCTCATTTCAGGCATTCAAGCATTTACCTGAAAAATTCTCTCAGTCTCCCAGTGCTATTTTTCATGAAGGCAACCTGATTTTTCCAAAACATTGTTGTAGTGGCTTAATGTGTTGCTAGGAAGCTTCCTTTCCATGGCCTGATTGGCTGGCCAGCAGAATGTTAGGAAAGATCATCAGAAGGAAGTACCATGATAACTGCAAGAACATTATTAATGGATAAAGATCAGAATGAGTTCAATCCTAAAATCCATCAACTTAACTAAATGAGGGACTGGGTGTTTGAAAAAAACCTGAATACATTAAGGAGAGCAAGATTAAAATGCTAAAGGAGTAATCAGCACAGATCTCTAGGTGCTTTAGACAGTAGTCTATTTTTGGTCATCTCTGTTTCTTAACTTAAATAGCAAGTGGAGAGCGAGGGACCTCAGATCGGGCTGCTACAGAGCAGCCCAGTTCTGCCACAGGTCCTCAATATATGGTAGACAGGCTTATAGATAGCTACCCAGATGCAATATGAACCACACACGTACCCTAGTCACACCATTAGTAAGAGGAGTCCAAGGATACAGAGGAGCAAAGCAAGCTGGAACTGTAGCTATCTTGCCCCTGCCAGCCACAGGCAGGAGGGTATGGAAAGCTCCATTCTGCAGTGCCACCCAAGCATTTTTGACTGAGGCTAGATCTGACCTTAAGACTTTAGCAGCTGTAACAGCAAGAAACTCAGAGGGGCAGAGCCAGGCAAATGTTAAACTGGTGCTCTCAGGAACCAATAGCAATGTAGTTGTGGGATGAAACAATTCATCTGAAGCTGCCGAACACCAGCAGGAAGCGAGGAAGTTACTTGGTGGTTAGTCCCTGCTGAGCTCTGTGCTACTACTGCAACACTACAATATATAACCAGGTGATGCTGTCAGCTATAAATAACCATCAGAGCATAACAACAGCATACACATTACTTTATATCCTCTTTAGAGAGCCAGCAGTTTGGAAAATCCCACCATAGACAACCTAGAAGTGCACAATTAATCCCCTAAAGAATCATTTTTCCCCAGAACATATACCTTGATTTCTGCCAGCGTATGAGGTATTCACAACCAGCTTTCAAAAACATTCACAAACATTCAAAAACATTCAAGAGGTGAAGACTTTTGTTCTTCTACCTATTCATAAAATACAAATATCATCAGTTCACTCAGTGCTGGTTTCTTCTCCCTGCTAACAAATTCAGGGAAAATTTTGAGAAATGGGGTAAGGGGGCAGGAAAAAAAGCACCCTTACCCCTATTTTTATCCACCAGGCTATAGAGCCTGAGAGCAGGAGAAAAGGGGCTGGCTCCTTAGCCTCTTGCTTATCTGCTGGGTCATGCACATCACTTCAGGTCCCAAAACTTCATCTCCACCTGACCTTTCCAGTCGGTAAAAAAAAAGTGATGCATTTACTTTCCTGTAAGGCAATTCTGGATACATTAATTCCACTAATGTTTTCACTTGAAGTAAGCAAGGCTAACCTGCTACAACCCCCAAACTGGTTGTTTCTTCCTTTCCTAGAAGGTATCTCCAGCGTAAGACTGAAGGAAATGTCTTCCCAAGGCATTCATGCTGTCCCACCAACAAGCATTTACCATTGCTCTGCTTGGGTACACAGAATGAGATCACAGTATATTTTTATAAGGCAGATGCCATTCCCATCTTATACACAGGTTCCTTTCATGTTGTCAGGAGGTACATATGGAACATTATTTCAATATCCATTTTGTCTATCTCATATAAGAGGAGATGGTAACTCTGGGCAAAGTCAGAGAAAGCTGGGCAAAGGAGAAAGGAAAATTTTAACATTAATTAGAAACTCCCTCAGATGCTAATAAGGATAAGGTCTAAGCCTTGTCTCTTCTTCAGATATTTAGAATAGATTGAAATCTGGATTAGAAGATAGCTCTTTTGGGTTTAGAAACAGACAAAATATTTCATGGACAGCTTTGCTACAAATCAAAAAAGCAAGGCACTAAGACATGCTTTTGGAGGTCAGGAGCTAGCACAAAATAAACTATGCTAATAATGGCTGTTGGAGAAGTAAGGCGGGGGAGTGTCAGGGAGGGAACAAATGTGCTAGTTGATGACATTTCTTTTAAGGTTTGTATTATTCTCTGGGCAGTCCTCATTTTGTACATTTAGTTCTGGGTTTGAATGGATTTCAGGACACTGGAAGAGAAAACTTAAGAAGTCCTTTATAAGGAATAGCTCAGCTTGATCTCCCTTGAGCATCTTGGCTTGAGTTCACTTGAACAATGCTATTTTTACTTCATTAACACTGTGGACTTCTTGTTCTCTGCCAGTTCAGAAAGAGATAGAAAGTGCTACAGTGAATTAAAAACAGAGAAAGGAAGAATAAAGAGAGCAGCATATAGATTTTAAGAGGTTTATTAATAATCAAAATTGATGGTGCCACTGCCTGCAGATATAATCAGTGTTAACCAAGTGCTCCCGAGACAGCTAGAAATGCAGGCCAGAAGCCTTGACAACAAAGGCAACCCATCTTTTCTTCCTTCCTCTTTTAAACAGAGAATAGATTACCTGTTCTCTGTCTCCCATCTGCTAGTCCAGCTCCGTTTACCTGTTTTGTTTGTTTTTTTTTACCTCAGCCTAAATACTCAATCTTGCTTCAGAAGCAGGAAAGTGAAGCTGGAGATGGGAGGAAGAGGGCAGCAGAATCTGCCTTACTAGTAGTTTAATTGACTTTACTTAGTTTCATATTCAAATCAAATTTATTTTTCCAATTGAAAAACTACAAGCAATTTTAGAAAGCCTAACATTTCGCTTAGATTACAGCCACATTTAAAAGCCTCAAAAAGAGGAAAGGAAGTTCTATTAAAAACACCTTGACAGTGAATTAGCTCTCGTCCAGCTGCCTACAAGGGCACTGACCCTCAGGCTTTACATCATTGATCACTGATGCTGCTCTCATACAGCATTTGGTTTGATCAAGATAACTTCATTGACTACCCCATGCTCAGGGACAAGTACATCACAGAAGAAGCATTTACATTGCTGCAACTAAGTGATAACTGGCTAGCAAGGCTTTCATTTCAATGAGGGAAGGAACTTCAAGAGCATCTGGAATAGCTATTGAGATAAAACTTTTCTTTCTATATAAACAAAAACAGTATAAAAAAGAAGGCAGCCTCATTCACATTGAGCAGTGAGTAGACAGAGACAGACCAAAGGGGTGGCCTGACTGGACCATCCCTGACGCACTGATGCAGGTTTATTCCATACTGCAGGCTACTCCTCAGCACTCCAGCCTGTTCAGAGCAGAGCTGCTTCTACTTCAACCACCTAGGCTGGATCAACATCAGGATTAGGCTGTACAGTTACCAAAAAAAAAAAAAAACCCAACAAAAAAAAACACTGAGGCAGATCCCTAAGGGACCTAGGCTGACACACCAACCTAGTTATCAGGAGTTATCAGGAGATTCAGATAGTTGGTTCCTGCTGACTTCAGAGGAGACCAAAGAACTAGCAAGCAGCTTCTTATGTAACTTATGAGACATCAGCCAAGTGAATTATCTCTGAATTTAGATTAAGCATGCTATGTAATTGTTATTCAAGAGACACGCACACAGGTGAAGCACAAAGAAAGAGCTGATAAATGACCACTCAAAACTATTGCCTTTGAACCTTCTGCTTTTCTCTCAGACCAGGACATCATCTTGAAACTTAGGTGCAAGCTAGCTCTACAAGGATGCTCATAGAGATGATGTGGAATCATCCAATGGGAAAAAAAATGCTCTGAAAGCTATTCTGTTCTTGAACATGCCTTGAGTAGATTTAATGAAGTGGATTTCCTATTATGCTGGTAACTGATTAGCATGTACAATGCATCTCCAAAAGAGGTAATTTTCCTGTTGCTAGTGAATCACTTCTCAGAAAGAACCCCCCTTTTCCTTATGGAAGGAGAGTTGGCTAAAGAGAAGTGGGCCTCTAAGAGTAACCTAGAGGTAGAGTAAATCAAACAAAAAAGAAAGTTCAATAATACTCTTACTTTGATATTGATGAAAGTTGAATTATGTCCTGCAGTACTAGAAAAAAATAGTTCTCCAAACCACTGATAGAACAAATAACTGTTACCATAACTACACCACTGACAGATGTGTGTTGATTTAATTTCTACAGTTAAATATTTACAACGGAGACTGCAGATGTTTTCAGGAGCTTCAGAAGACACATATTGAATGCAAATGTCACTGTCCTAGGGGATAATTCATACTGATTTATCCCCTAGGACAGTGACATGCAGAGTCACTTTAAGATGAATGACTTTTACAGATTACAAACTTCCTATAACCTCTAGCTTGGATTTGGTACTATGTAAGTAAACAATACATTACAAAATTCTCTACTAAAGATCCTTAGGAAGGACTGAATAATATTAAAATCAGGAATCTGATCAAAATCCTTCCCTCTCCATAGATTTCTGCTCAGAGAAAGCATCCAAATACCACACTATTTCATCCAGAAAAGAGAGTTCACTTTGGAATCATCATTCAGATGATACCACTTACGGCTCTGTGAGAGAAGAGACATTTACTTTAACAGATGACTATATTACTTTGGATCATATTGTAGCCTGACTCCTGTCAGACACTCCCTCGCATATTGGTTGCCGAGTACTCCAAATGATTTAAACGTAAGGTATTTCAATCAAAAATACGCTCAGTCCTAAGAAACAAATATTTTTTATTAAAAAGACTTTCACAGGCATACAAATATATATATGACATTATTTCTGACTTTATGTTTGTGGATTTAAAAATAGACTTACCTCTATATGTCTCAGAAACAAAAAGGTAGTGTTTTAAATTATAAAACCAGTGTCATGCATCAGCAATAAAAAAAACTCCACATCAATGCAGATAGATTTCAAGTCATTGAAACATTACAAAGTAAAAAATTTAATTACTTAAAAATTATATGTTCAAATTAGAGGAGATAACACTTTCAGAAGGCTAGAAACTTCTTAAATAGGTTAAGTATTATTGGAGAAAATAACTTTATGAAAGGAAACTAACCTTCTTTTTTTTTTTTTTTTTTTTAAGGTTACCTCAAGAGCCGAGATCACATTTTCCACAAATTTTACCATAAATCCTTTTTACTCATTGCTTCCTCCAGATACAACCCAAACCAGTGTATCGAGTATCTGAAAGTAACAACTTAATTCAATACTGGAGAAATGCCAACTGGTCATTTTGATGCTCTTGATTTCAAAGCAATTTTTACAAAAAATGCAGGCTTGGATCATTAAATGCTGGTAGAAAATAAAGTTTTAGTCTGATTAAAGGAAAAAAAAAGGCTGGAGGGAAGAGTTTCTGCCATGTGCTTCCATTGGAAGGTCCCATTTGGCTCAGCATAATGTATTAGTGATACATTCTGAAACCAACAAGAGGCCTCCTACATTTGGAAGCTGACTGTAGGAGCCCATTGTGTAGGCTTTTTGCATAGGAGTACAGCCACTGCTATGTGTTGCATTAATTTAAGGCTGTGCCAGGAGAATCACTCTCCTTTGGATTGCTACATCCCCAAAAATAACTAATTCAGCTATGTCTGACCACAATTACTAGCAGCCAACATCTTTCTTGAATGATACTGAAAGCTTTAAATGGCAGCCCAGTGGCTTTTACTCTTGAGTTTTCCACTTGGGCTTTACACCTTTATCAAGAATATCCCATTCTTTCCAACACAATTTTCAGATATATTCAATGCATTTTGTTATCAAGAATAAACTAAAGCCTACAGTTCCCTTGTGAGGTAGATAATTCAGATTTTTTCAATTTTAGAAGAAGAAAAATGAAGCATGATACAGCTAAATTCATAGCATACCTAGACTCTAAGGTCCACCTTCCAGTACTTTATTGTAATCAAGCAGATCACACAGACATTGATGAAGTAACTACAGGTGTGCACACGGATCAGTGGCCTCACCAGAACATGTAAACTTTACCGGTAAAAATTTGCTTCATTCTACCGAAACACCATGGAATAGAGGAGGGAGGGAGGGAGAAGCTCTATAAATCCAGTATAATAAATTTGAAAAGAAAACAATTGTCATCACAGTTTTGCAAAACTTGAGAAGAGTCCTTGTTGAATTCATTTGGTGAGTGGAATCTAACACACATAAAAAAATAATAATTCACCTGTTAAAATTGTTAGGCTAGACATTGCAGCTGTTACTGAGGCAAATTTAAAAGCATTTACTATGTTGGCTGCAAAAACTCTGAGGTGAACACAGCTTCTGCATAATCCTCACAGACATTCTGCAACTCTGCTGCCACATCACATAGGGCTTCTTCTGTCAGTTCCTCTGCCAGACTGAGGGAGAGAGAGGAAAAAAACGAAGGTTCAGAAAGTCAGATTTCTAATTCTAGTAATTTCTTCCAATGATATTAATACTCTGATTTTAGAAGGCTCTATTAAAAATATAGACTTTTTTTTTCTCCTGCTTAGACTACATAAAGAGCTCACTGCCACAGAAAAGTTGTGTTCTCATACATGTTGTATAATCTACTTGAAATTCTTGCCAGTATGGTTCCTAGGGAAGGATAAATACTTCAAGCTTAGGTGTTGAAGGATCTCCATCACTTTCCTTTTCAAATTCTTATATACCAATCCTGCTTTGGGAATAAGATTTAATATACTATGTGATTATGCAAAGGCCATTTAAATCAATGGGTAGTGTTTTACTGATTTTAGTGATCACTGAATCAGGCCTTCCTATTAGGAACAAAATTTAAGAAGCAACAAGACTAGAAATTTCTGTTTTCATGGATCTCTGGGTCAAATAAGATGTCAGAGAAGAGAAAATTATTCTAGCATTTAGGAAAACAATTGTGTACTAATGACTTGAAAAAAATCTGTATCCAAGTATATCCAAGGTCTATTAGCATACCATAGAAGAGTTTTACACATACATATTTTGATACATATTTTACTGAAAAAGATTTGTAATGCCCTCTGGTGGTAAAAATAATTTACTGAAGCATCTTGGATGTCCGATTACATTTACAGTTTGATTTTAAGTAATATGTATCATAGGTAAATGGCAGCAGGTGGCAGGAGGAAAGAGATTCACTTCCATTTAATCCATCTGTCAACTACAGGAAGATGCCAGCCTTGGAGTACCCAGCCTCACACCAGTTATAGAAACGAATGTAGTTGGCACTGAAGAATGAGAGTGCTGAGAATTGTCAAGGCATACTTCAGCAACACATTTTAATAGATTCAAATACAGTGGTCTACACACAATTGTTAAAACACTTGTAAAACAGAGAATGAATTATAGGCAATCCTAGACAATCACTTAAGGGAAGTGCAAGGAAATGATGACAAATAAAATAATTTACTTGCCATATCTGTTACCAACCAATCAAAATACTCACGAATATTTTAACTTTCCCTACCCTGCTTGCTTAACAAGTTTTGACTATGTGATAAAGATTCCTTTCCTACAAAGTATGCAATATAGGGTAAGTTATTGTTTCTTCTTTTATTTGCACTGAAGGATGACAGACCAGATATGTCACAGTTTCCCCTAGTGAACTCCTTGACAGGACAAATATTTTTGGAAATGGAAGTACTGAAATCTACATTAAATCCAGCTGTCACTTTAAGAATATCTACTATTGTTCCATAAAACAGCAATTAGATAAACCTCTACTATGAGAGGTAAAGATTGCAGACATATTCTCTGCTATTTCCAGTGCTTTCACAGAATCACAGAATAGTTGGGGTGGGAAGCTCTTCAGATTTCTTTGCAGATCACTTAGTCCGACTTCCCTGATCAAGCAAAACTAAAGCAGGTTATCCAGGACCACACACCCAGCAAGTATACAAGTACCTCAAAGTATGGACATTCCACAGCTTCTCTGGGCAACCCTTATTTACATTTCACTCAACAAAAAAAAAGTAAATTTTGGGGTTTTTTTTCCAAATTATCTGTTGATGATACCATTTCATTAATGGATGGAAAATTAGACTCATTTCTTTTTATCTCTAGGAAGGATATTATGCTGAGTTAAACACTTGAAAATGCAGCACTAAAGGCTTCTTCAGAGCATGCAAAATAACTACATCTTCTATGGCGACTCCCTACAGATTCATTCACCCATTTACTCCAGGAATGGTTGAAGAAAGCTGAGGGTGAGCATTTCTTCTCACAGTTTTCTACAGCAATTGAAAGCCAATTTACACAAACTAAGGTAAAGTTAAAATTGAAGTTTCACTTCTAATGTAGTCTTCTGAAAATAATATAAGCTACTTTATATGTCACACAGTTGTTTTTGTGGTAAAACTGCAATATATGAAAAACAATCATTCCTCCAGAACGTTCTGCCCTCATATCCCTTTATTCTCTCTGAAACTCTTAAAAATCCATAAACATCAAGTATCAGCTGAGAAGCAGTCCAACAGCTGACTACTTGGGCTTTCAACAGAACCTTTCTCTCCCATCTCCTCCTCTAAATAAAATTAGAAAAAAAAAAGTTAATCTGTTTATATCTCCCCTTCATAAATACAAAGATAGTTCATGTACCTTTCAGCAATCTGCCACGGATTGAAACTGCCTATTGCCTCATGAGAAATGATTTTTAGGTGGTGCTTGTATCTGTTGTTATAATCCAAGAGGTTCTGGAACATAGCCTTTGGAACAGAGAGAGAAACGTAGCACTCATTTGGCAGGGACCTACTTCGACTCAAGGTCTGCAAAATGTCACTTCCAGGCTGCAGTTTCTCTTCTGATGTTTTGATTTCATCAACACCACTGGAAATGGAAGACAATCATTAAATCAGAACTCTATTATGAAAAATAATGTTTTTCAAAGACAAAGTCTAGTCAAATAGCAACCAAACTTTTCTTTAATGAAAACACTATATTGAAGATGCACAGCTCAAATACATCTCAGCTTAATGTACGGCAGAATATTCTACTTACTTGCTATTAAAAGGGTTTTCAAATATAATGTCTATTTCTGGCTCTTTCTGTCCAATTAATCTAGTTATTTGAATTGGATGTGGAGAGGAAGGAACATTTTGCTGTTCTAGAACAAAGAAAACAACATTAAAAATTTTTTCTCTGGAAGAGAAAAGAACCCCAACATTTAATGCAAGTATATCTACAGAAAATATGGCTCCTCTTAAGGCCAAGTCCTACAGATAGATAAAAGCCCCTAAAATGTAAATTCAAAATGGAATTTCCAAGCCCCCAGTGTGCTAAAGATAAGGATTTCAGAAACCGTATGCTTTGCAGATTTTAAAAAAAAAATTTATCTGTGGTAATTCTAAAAAAGAGGGAAAGAATACTACTCTAAAATTAGTCTATTAAGTTTGGTCCTAACTAGAAGATACAAAACAAACAAAAACCCAAAATCCCAACAAAACAAAAATCCCATCACACACACACACACAAAAACAAAACTTAGGTCAAGTATTCACCTGCCCTACTGTGAAACTTTCCAGCTGGTATAAAACAGCACAATTAAAGTCAGTGTGTGATCAGTTGCTCCCTTATTCTGGTAATTATACATAATGCAACAATTTTAGTTTTAAAAAGAGTAGAATTTAAAGATGGAGACTACAGGAAAATTAATTTGCATTATAAAAAGACACTTACCTTTCTTCTCTTCCTGGGCCCAGAACTCCAAATCACTGTACACAATCTGGGTAAGTCTCCTACGTACAGCTTCCTGATACCTCTTTAGATGTATACATAAAAAAGATTAATCAGTAAATATTTAACAGTTTCGTTGGGCTACTGATCATCTCATGTGAAAGCTCGCAATGATCTTTTCTAATCAAAAATAGGATTATTTTCTCCAGTTATCTTAAAACAGAAAGGTTATGCATGAGACACAGACATAGAAATCATACATAATCTTGGTCAAAATGCAACTCTAAGACTCAATCAGTTGCTAGTACAATTACAACTACTTCCACCTCTGCTAACCAGCAGCTGTTCAAATAACTGAAAACCAGATAGCTCATTTGTCTGTCCTGCTTTATCACAAATAATAGTAAATTCAAATATATACTTATGTGTTGAGTCTCATACAGATAAAGACACTGCATAATTTAAGCTTTGTGCCTCCATCTTAGAAGTAAATGGCACTAAGATTAGTAGTTCCAGATTAGGATAAATTGCTCAAAGCAGGAGGTAGAAATGAGACTGGAATTAAAGAACTATGGGGAAAATCTAATTGAAGAAAAAATGAAAAAAAAGCAACATATGAGCAAAAAAACACCTCATTAAAATTTACATAGCAAAGTGGATAAACAGAAGCGCAGTTAACTAACATGTTTGACTTCACCACATTTTCCTGTAATATATACTTTGGATTGCCATGGCAGGTTTCCTTGAAGTGCTCATGCTACTGGAATATTAGGGCCTTATATCAAAAACACTCAAAAAATGTCACAAGTATTCAAACTTTTCCAAATGTGAGACAATGTAGCAACCACCATACTGACTTTCTTGATGATCTAAGGCACAGAAAAAAAACAAAAACAAAACCAACCCCACACCCCACATAGGTCAAATAGGTCAAACATACTTCTGTTCTCACTCTACTGATCTGGAAAAAGAAACTCCATTGAGCTCTTCCAGTTCGCACACTGATTTGGTTAGACCTTGCTCCACCAAAAATGTAAAAAACAACTGACATCTACAACTTAAGGAGAGCGATCTGGTAACACTGAGACCAACTGAGAGACAAGGCTTACTTCAATGTCTTCCATCTTTTGCAACATTGCTTCCAAACTTGGACACTCAGCCATGGCCAAAGCAGGGGTCTGGAGTCTCTCCTGCTGCTCCATGCTCCAGAGTTCCTGAACAGTATCTTCCAAAAGATCATCTAACAGTTTTTCAGTCAGTTTATCTGCATTTGTTGCAACCTGCTAATTAAAGGAAAAAAGATCCAGTGGAAAAAGAATTCTGGTGAAAAAAGTGTTTATAAATAAAGTACTTCTAAAAGCAGCTGCTTACTATATTGAAGGAAAATGTTAAATGTTGGATTATTAAAAATCCAAAGAATTTCCCCATTTTCTTTCACTTATATAGTAAGTCAAATAAATAAAAGCAGCTTGGTATGTCTCTACCAGGAAAAAAATCAACAGATATGGGAAAAGCTCATTACTCTTTCCCCAGAAGCATTCTATTTCATGGCAAAGGAAAAAAAAAAAAAACAGAAATTTCAAACAACTACATTCTATGCCATGACAGATAGAATAAACCTTTCTCAGTTACCTGAGTTGAGAGGTTGCTTACAAATAAAGAATCCTTCAAATGACTGTTTGTTTCCAGGGAGAGATTTACTTTTTAACAAAACATAAATCCTCTCATAATAATCACATTTGCAGCATCACTAGTACAACTTATATTTTGCCATTAAATACAGCTTAATATAAATTGTTAGAATACTATTATGAAGCTCAGTCATGTTCTAGATGGAATTGTTATGGCCAGTCAAAACAATTTAAAATGCATCTACTTTATCAGAAAGTAATCAGAAAATGAATGTTGCTTTGGCATAATTTATTATAATAATTTAACGACTATGCACTGAAAAAGAAACACACTCCCCAAAAGTCCAAAACTTTGCTGAGTATATGAACAGTTTTATATTCTTTTTTTCCCAAAATCCGCTTACTTGCATTAAGTTGAAAATGAACAGATGTCTTGCCCCTCAATAATGCTTTATAGCTTTAAATTAATCCTTCAGCTGCATGAGCTTTGACTATACTACCTGTGCCTTGTCCAAAAGAGGTTCTAAATGCTCCTGTACAGTTCTCTCAACTTTTTCTTCAAACCGGATGGGAGAAGCACCCTGTGACCTACCAAAAAGAAAGTCATTCTGAAATACTGTATGACAAAAACAAGTAATCATAACAAGTAATTCATTTTGCTGGAGGTGTTAGGGGCAGATGGGAAGCTCTATCAGATCTGATATCAAAACCTTTTTTCCATTTATCAGTTCTTCAAATAAGTAATTACCTCAGCTTTTGCTTTTCTATTTCTTCCTTACTGCAGTCAGTTAGAAAATGCACTCTCTTTGAAGATTCTGCCTCAAGTCATGTTAGTTTTCACAAATAAAACAATACTATAAGGAAGTTGCCAATGCACATTGTAACAACTAGATAATGAAATTGTGATTTTGATATCTTGTCTCTTTCTTTCATACTGAATTACTCAAATACATATTCTTACCACAGATTTAACCTTGCTAGGAATTTTGTGTAAAACATAGTTCTCAAATTCTTTCAATGCTCACTTACAGAAACCTCAAAATAACACACAAACAAAAAACACCCAGCAACCACAAACCCCTTGATCACTACCTAAATATAGAAAACATCAGGTATTTATCCTCAAAATCTCAACCTCACATAAGGAAAAAAAAATACACACACACACACACTTGAAAGAAAAATTCAGAAAAAAAAAGTATTTCCTATAAGAATATCCCTGTTAACCTAGGAGCTTCTTTTTCTGTGAAGCTTAGTCTTCTTCCTTCTGCTTTCCTTTTATGTGAAGTTGAGTTACCAATGAGTTCACTAGATCTTGCATTCCTGGGTGTCTTGACAGTACTGTAAATAATAGAATATATTAATGGTACTCCTTTTCCTCCACTACATGTTTTAAAAGTTTATTCATAGCAAATATTATTGCATTTAAACTGTGGACATACCATTTTGCTGAAGCAGATGGAGATGTATGGTTTGGAGGTACCCTGGGTATTCTGTCCTCCTCAATCTGTCGTTTGCTCTCTTTTAGTTGGAAAGCTACAGTTGTCTCTTGAAAATGGGCACGTTTTCCTTGAGGTTGTACCCATCTTGATTTTACAGGTTTAGGCACTCCCTTAAATTTAACACAATCACATTAAGAAAATACATCTCTGTTTTTGATATTTTCTTCCCTCAATCTCTTAAGTATTTTGTATTCCATTTCCGAATTGGTCTTGAACTCATGACTGACACCTTTACTGCACAGCTAACAAATGCAGAGGTTTTGCAACTGATATGAGATGGGTTATAACTATGCGCTGGCAGAACATGTCCTTAATCCCACAACTGTGAGTTTTAAAAAATAGTTCCAGTTTTTCCATATTGCTCTTCAATGGAAAAAATCATTTTGAGATTTTCAGAATTAGACTCTTAACTCTGAACAGATCAAAATAGAAAGTTTCCAAGATAACCTTCTTACAATCATGAAACTATAAGATTATTCTACTTATATTTGCTACAAAGACAAACAAACTCCCACCTTCACTATGAATTACTGAGATGCTTAGCTTTGCTACTCACAGTCCTCACACTAATATGGGAAGCAGCAAAATATATATTCATGCATCTATTTTACAATACAAAATTGGATTTTCAAGAATCCTTTAAAAGAATGTAACTGTAAATATTTTGTATTTGAAAATATTTTTCTAAAGAAATTGCTTGTTTACATTACAAAAGTCTCTAGCTGGTTACAAGAGAGATTCATCAAAACACACAGTGTCTGGTGAAGTGGTATAATTTCTGTAATCAGAGGCAAAATTTGATTCATTTTTAACCTCATTATCATTATGGAAAGAAGAAAGAAAGATCACAGCTTTAAAGCCAAATTGAAAAGTTACCATGATAATTTTAAACATGAAAATGCTTTCAGGGAATGTTTTGAGTCTGTTTGTTGAGTCTGATATTCATTGTTTCTAATTAAAAGCATGTTTCTAATGTACAATAACAATACTTTCAAAGGTCATAACACAAGACTTACTCCCTTATTCCTCACCTGTTCAGAATCAAGTTATTTCTGAGGAAGCACAAAGCCTAGCAGTGTCTTAAAAGAAATCCAAAAGGACAAGTAGAGGAAAACATAAATTATTTTTTTTAATAACATCTATACCTTTGATTTTGCTGGTAACAATACTCGCTTCTTCCTCAAAGGGCCACTTTCAAGCATGGGACCTTTTTTTACAGCTCCAGCTCTTGCCAATGCATCTAAGCTTCCTTGTAAAATGGCATTTTTCTCTGGAGTTGGTGGGTCATTTTCTTCTTGGAATGCACTCTGCGGTACTTGAACATGACTGTTTGTCTTTTGAACTGCTGAAACATTTGCAGCAAATTCATGTTTGTCTGTATGAAAAAAAAAATCTTTATCTGCAAGCACAAATGGACAAAATCCATCCCTATTTCTGCATTTCTGATTTTTGTTACTCTATTTAATGATGAGTTGTAAAGTTCTGTCATAATATTGAAATATTAGAATTGTTGCTATTTCCTGGTAAACATTAAATCAACTGGCTTTCTTACATTGTTCTGTTGTACAAAATATTTTGTTGTTAACTATATATACACATAAACACACACAAATGTACATAATATGTACACTGGCAGCGATGGGGACATAGCTGCCTCTCTAGAGAGAGATAATTTCATATCTTTTAGGCGGCAAGAGACACGATTTAAATAATAACAGAATAGTCATAACAGATATATAAAGCTGCAGATCTACCATGCCAGAGAAACAACTGAAAATAAATGCATAGCAAGACTACAAGAATCCAATTATTATACCTTTGGGAGCAACAGGTAATGTACTACAGAACTGAGTTGCCACTGGGATAACATAACTGATAAAAAGTTATTTAATAATTCAGAATACAAACCAATCAAAAGTCTGCTGGTAGATGAAGGTTTCCTAGGTTCTTGTCCAAGCTGCTTCTTTAAGATGAGAGGTTTCTTTTCTCCTCTAGGAGACCTAAGCCGCGTTCTGGCAGGAAATACCATATTGCTCCCTGGTGATTTGCCCTGAAATGCTGACAGACATTTCTTTGTTTTTTTGGGTGTTTGTTTCTTTTCCAGCAATGAATCCAGATCCTGTACCAAATATTTATAATTTAAATTACTCTTTAATTAAATAATGAGAATAAGGAGAAACAAATGTTAAAGGAGTCTAAACAGTGTAATATTTTGAGATGGTTTGCTTTTTATGTTCTCTTTTTCTTTTTGTTTATTTGTTTTTTAAAAGGTGATCTGTCCTTGTTCATGCAGAAGCTTCTTCACATAATCAATAATCTTATAGAACAGGCTGGTATTTTTGTTTTTACAAATGTCTCTAGCAATTAATTGCCTATGGTATGTTCAATAAAAAAATTGATACAAAGGCTACAGATCATACATGACTACAGGATGATTAAGGACTTCTTTCAGTAACAAGCACAGTCTTAAGCAGTGCCACTTCCCTTTCTGTTACAGGGCAATTATGACTATTACTCTTTTTATAAAACATACATGCACAGCTCTTAAAAATTAGAATAATATTTTTAAAGGAAAGAAAATCTCATGAGTGTTATATCACTTAATTAAATGTTGGTTTCATAACAGTTCAGGTTACACAGGTTTTTTTTTGTTTTTACATCTCTAATTTGGAAATGTAAGCAGAAAAGGCAATTCAGAGCTTTTTTTTTTCATTATATCAAAAATGTTTGTAAAGCATCAAATATTACTAACCAATCATTTGAAGTGCACAGAGCTTAATAAATTCTTGTAGCTACATCTTCTGACCAAACACTTTTTCTGCATACAGCACGAAGGAGGCAGACACTCATCACTAACCCTTACAACTAAAACATACACTACTAAACAAAATACATAATTTTCAATGTATTGGATAAAGTGCACTCCTTTCAGCCTTGAAAATGACAAATGAATCAGACATACTGATGCTCTATTACCACTGTAACTACTGGTCTTATTTCTGACAGGACAGCTAATAAAGAAAGAAACAGTATCATCAAAAAAATGCAGCAGGTAGCTCTGGTATATAAGATGCAACCTCATTTTAGACCATCATAACTTATTAAAAAAAAGAAAAAAATCATGAACACACAATATAGTTGACAGTCAAATATTTCACCATGTCTCTTCCCTCTCATCAGAAATGAAATGTTATTTTCCTACCTCAACTTGTAGCAGGATATCTATGATAGTGTCAGAAAGGAAAGAGTCCATTTCTAGTTTGGCAGAGCAGAGAGACAGTTGTCGAATGAGACTGCCTAGTTCCTTATAGTGTGTAGGAACTTGTTCTCTTTGATCAGTAAATTGATTGGCAAATGTCTGCAAGGCTCGTATAGCTCCTCTGTGTGCTGCAGCCAATCTGGATACTGTTTGAGACTAGGACATGAAAGAAAAAAAAAAAAAAAAAAAGAAAACAAACCCCACAAGCTTGAATAACTAAAGTTTCTACAAATGTTGTTACTGAAAGAATTAATGCCAGAATTTCATGTGAAAATACTCAAAACTGTGATAGTTATGATGAAGATGAGGCTACTCATGAGATAAAATGCAACAGACATTTAAGCAGCCTACTAAGGATAATACCTATAAGATCATATACCAACTATTGTGCTAACTTCAGTTAAACTAGTATAGTTAAAATATTTTTTTATTACTCTGTGCCTAGAGAGTTTAGTCATAGGACTAACCCCAACATGACAATCAAGGAACAGTCTCCATCCCTCAAAGATTTTTTTACAGAGAAGATATAAATGTTGGAAAAGTACAAGACAATATGATCAGACAGTAAGCATGATCACAGCATTAACTTGAAAATGATAGATATTATAAAGTGAAAGATAATAGACAAGAATATCAGAAAGGATCACCAAGTGACATTAACAGAAATTTTAAAGAGTAGTGAATAGTAGAATGCAATGTTATTCATAAATGAAAGTAGAATATAGGAGAAATTTGAAACAGCATAAAAGTAGAGAACAGCCTTTTCCTCTGCAGTTTATTCTGAGGAAAAGAGGGAAGGCAGCATCAGATCAAGCAAGCCATAATTCTGTGGTAACAAAGCAAACGGGGAAAGATAGAAAACAAACACACACAGACCACCTACTCCCTTCTGGAAAGGCATACCCTAGATAACTTGAAATCTGACATATACAATTTACTGAGAAAAAAAATCTCTCAATAAATGAGTGGCATCCTGAATGACAATTACTTCCTACCTTTTTAGTATGCTTGATTTTATGAGGACTCAATTTGTCTAAATTATCCTGAATTTCTTTTACCTGTTTATCAAAAAAGGAGGGGGAGGGGAAAAGTCGGTCAGAACCAGCTCCATATCTATAAGTGAAATATAAATCTTAGTGAAAATAACATGTGAGTGAAAGTCCAAACTTTCCAAAAGTATTACTTAAATCTCTATCCAGGGATGAGAGAGATTAGTCATATCATTCACATCCAAACCAAAAACAGAGACATGTTGATCAAGATCTCTTGTTACCGTTCATTTCTGTTGAAGCCATCATAATAATCTAGCTACTGTACATCCCAATTTTAAAGGAATTGGTTCTATACACCCCAATTGGTTCTTACTTGTTGCTGGAGAACATACAACTTCCGAGCTGACTGTACAGTTTGCTCCTGCCTCCTAATGCGAATTCGTTGCTCTTCACCAGGATCCAAAATTTCATCTCTCTCTAGAAAGCATAAAATACAGAGTTTTGTATCTTAACCTAACTTGGGAGAAGTCTGAAAAGTCAAATGAATAACATAGATGACCAATGCAATGTCAGAAAGCACATTCAATGTGCCAACCTACAGCCATAAATTAGGTGAATCAGATTTTACTAAATGAAATATTGTCAACTTCTAGCCTCTTTCTTATTACTGCTAATGAAGTGACTAACTACAATGCTAATTCTCTGCAGTCTGAAGATATGACTAATAAAGTTTTATGGCACCAAAGTTTTTCACACAAGGTGTGAAGTCAGCCTACCTCGAATTTACTGTCATTGCAGGTATTTGTTATCTAAACTAGCTAGCCATTTTACTTTTTATTCTTTTTTGAAAAATAGTCCTTAAAAATATAGAATTAAAGACCAATTCTAATTCAAGTCAAACGAGAAAGAATGAAACAAACTACCATTTGTTTATATAAAATAAATTTTTTAATCTTACTTTTTTTAGACATTTCTTCAATTTTCTGGATACAACTTCTCAATTCCTTTTGCAGGCGTCGAACTTCCTGTATATTTTCATCATCTTTTTTTCTGATATTTTTCTTGGACCCTGGTCCAGGGTCGTGGATGGGCGGAGAACCTAATACAGATGGTATTAGCCTTCCCTCATTTGGTGTATAGAGAGAAAGTTTAGCACTGGGGCTACTGGTCTTCACTTTGGAAGGCTGACCAAGTTTGTGCTGGCATTTTAAGGTAGTCCAAGAATTCGATGCATTTTTCTCCTCCAGACGTTGAAATAGTTCATTTTTGTGTTGCTGGGACCTCTTGGCCAACAACTGTTTATTGACAGCAACTCCAAACACCTGCTGCTTTACTTGCCCTTCACAATGTCTTTGTCTTACGTCCCTTTTGGCTAGCTGAATGGCAAATTTTAGTTTCTCTTCAGATATCACTGAAAACATGCCAGAGCTTCTTATGCTGGGATCGTCACTGGCAGCAAGACTCCTCTGATCCTTGGATGGCTTCAGCTTTTCTATTATAATTGGATGAGGGCTAGGAAATCTGACAGACAAATTCTCTGGAACTGCAGGCACGTTCTTATTAAACTGGAGCTGTTCCAATGTTTAAACAAAGGCTAATGTTATGCAGAGCACATTACACAGGTAATACATCTCTAGCACACAAGAGTAGGCAAAGTGGATCTACTTTCATATCAGGATTAATTCTGTCATGTTGGCACTTCTCCCTGTGCCAACTTCTCCCAGGCAAGCCTTTATCCCTACCCAAATGAACACCAGTATTCAAAATTATTTTCATGTAAGCATGTAGATCCTTTTATAAATACCATTAGGCACTGTTTTTGCATCATAGGCATAATTGACATTGACAAAAATGTTCCAAAGTATAACAAAAGTGTAAAAAATTAGTTATAACAATAATATAACATTAGTAATATAAATTCACCTAATTATATAAAGTCATGAATAAACTCATAAAGGTAAAAAGAAGATAATGTATATGCAATGACAGGGAAATGCATGGCTGAAACACAGCACCACAATAATGGTTTTATGTTCTGCTTCCACACAGCTAAGGCTAATAAGCGGCTCAGAGAGGCAAACAACATTTGCTCATACAATTGCTGACCTATCTCCTCACAGAAGGAAAACACCATGCTTTGTATGTCATTGTCCTGAAAGCAAGTACAGAGATTTGACACCTGCTAGCAAGCTACCCCACCAAGTGGGTCACAATCCTCTCTCTGTACTGGCCTTAGAGGAGAAACAATTCAGTATCAATACAGCGGCAAATACCTGGGTTTGTAATACTGTGGCTTCATTCCTGAAGCGTGGGGTATCGGATGCAAAGGTAATACCGGATGTAGATGGCTTGCTTGGTCCCATCACGTTGGCTTGCCTCACGTAACAGGATCTGACCTCCCACGGGGCAGACCTGCTCTCTGCAGCCCCGGGAAAAGGACCTGCACTCGTCGGTGCCGGTGCCGGTGCCGGTGCCGGTGCCGGTGCCGACCCGCCCGCTGCGGAGAGGCTGTTCAAACCTGGCAACCACCGCCGCAGAGGCCGCCGGGAAGCGGCGAGTGGGCGTGGCTACGGTGGCCGCGGCGGCGGGCGGCGCGGGCCGGCGGGCGCGATGGGCTGGGAGGAGAAGCAGGTTCGCGGCTACGGCGAGTTCGCGGACACGGCGCAGCGCTGCCACGGCCGGCCCATCTTCGCGCTCTTCTGCGGCGACAAGGACGCCACGGGCCGCAGCTGGTGCCCGGACTGCGTGACGGGTGAGCGCCGCCGCCCCCGCGGCTGGGCCCCAGCCGGCCGCCCAAGCCCCGCGGGCAGCCCCCCGCGCCCGGTGCCGCTCGGGAGGGAAGAGCCCGGCAGCCCCCGGCGTCCGCGCCAGGCTCGTGCGAGCCGCCCGGCTCCATAACCCCGCGGCGCTGCCGCCGCTGGGAGCGGCAGCCGCGGCCGCGTGGGCAGGCGGCTGTGCCGCGCTCTGCTGTTCCAGGCTGCTGCTCAGCTGGGGCGCCTGCCAAGGCAGCTGTTTCTGTCGGCTCTGCAGGCAATGGGACGTGCATCCCAGAGTCGGTTAATTCTTAGGGTCAGTTAATTCATGTAATTCAATGTATTTATCAACTGTGGCTTCATGCCTGGCAGGCGGATGTAACATGGACTTGGTGGCTCTTCCCAGTACATCATACTGTACTTTACTCAATCATGTATGCTAAATTATATATGGCAACAGCTTACTGCTTTTCAAAAGAGCTCTCCTAAAGGGAGACAATAACATTTATTGGGTTACTAAGTAGAAAGGGACCTCAGGTCCCTGTAACATTAGTAGTTAGTTCTGTAAAACTTGTGTCTATAAAACCTTCTGCCCCAGACAAAGTATCAGCTCTAGCAACCTTGTTTGTCCAAGCTGATCCATGCAATTCTGTAGCACCATAATAGTATCAACTACTAACTGATTAATAAATTACTCTCTAGCTGAACCCATTGTGAGGAAAGAACTTCATAACATGCCTGATGGGTCTGTATTCATCTACTGCCTAGTAGGAGACAGAGCCTAGTAAGTAAAATATTTTAATGCTAATGGCTGATACAACTTTGTTATTTGTGGATGAATCTTTAACAAGCATGTTAACTGCTCTTTTCTGTAATAAGTGAAATATCTTGTGGTCTTGGAGGTCTATACCATCCTAATGTCAACGGGGTTGGGGAGGTAGGGCTCTTTGAATTATCTTTGTGAAAGAATTTTAACAAGCTGATCCCAGGTACCTCTGTATAAGCTGTTACTCACTTTCTCCCTGAACAGCTGGAAAGATCCCAACAATGAATTCAGAAAGAATCTGAAACTAACAGGAGTGCCTACATTACTTAAATATGGAACAGTAAGTCATTTGTCACATGTCTTTAGTATCCGTGCATTTGAGTGAGCCAGTGGCAGGAACTTGTGGCTATAAATTTATATTTACCATCCATGTTGTCTTATACCTTCACATTTAAAAAGGGCAGACAATTAGGAACAACTTTTCTGCCCGCCAATCCACTTCCTGGCTCAAACAGACAACTGATCAATCTTCCATAGAATTTTCCCTGTAATAAACATGTAGTAAAATAGTGGTTGAAAGGGAGAGAAAGTTCTTAAAAACATTTGTTAGCTTGTGACTTGCAGCTCCTGCAGCTTTAGAAAATCCAATTGTAGAATTATGGGAGTGGAACAGTATTACCACAGTACACTTCTGATACAAACAGACTACAACTCTATAAAGTCTCGTGATTTTTAGTCAAAGACACTAAACCTGTCAGACCACGTTGTAACTTGTACAAGTTAAATTAATTAGCAGTTACATTCCAAGGAATGATTCAGAGCAAAAAACCCTTGGGCATTTTTCAATTATGTCCTACTACTTGCTCCCTTCAACTATTGAAAAATAATTGCTGAAGCAAAGTTGTCATATATGGATGGCTCTAATCTTGAATAGGATTTTGAATCACCCCTAAAAACATATTATTTTCTTTCAGCCTCAGAAGCTGGTTGAAGAAGAATGTTTTAAGGCAGAGCTTGTGAGGATGTTGTTTACTGAAGATTAAATCTTCTAATAGTCAATCATTAAGCTCATCTCACTTATTTGTTCTATTCTTTCAAGGGAACTTTGTGTTTTCCAGACTATCATTGTTAATTACAATGTCTGACCAGTCAAAATAAATGTAATTAAGTTTAGGTCCAAACCTTCCACTGAATTCTCAAAATGCAAAATGGCATCATTCCTTGCTTGTTGAAATAAACTTGTACTTGCAACAAACAGTCTTGTTTAAGGGTGCTGAGTTCATATTCTGAAACACTTTACATACATTTTCTTCTTTCCCTCAACACTGCATAGCTGAAGTAGATAATCTGTTAAAGAATACACACAAACAACTGCTCTTCAATACAGTTAAATAAACGTATTAATGGTAGTGGAGTTGCTAGTGTGGTATATGCATATTGACTCGTGTTTATTACAACATTTCAGCCAAAAGGAATGCTCCCCTCTAAGCCGAGGCAAGTGCTTTACTATCCTTTCTTACAAGAATGCAAGTCAAACCACAGTTACTAGAAAAGAAAATGAAAACTTACCAGATCAGCAGCAACTGCTCCTTGTTTAGCCTCAATTTACTGATAAATAACACTGACTTACTATTGAAGGTCTAGCTTAGCAATTAATTACGAAGAATAAAAACAAGAATCTGTTCATTCTTCCTAAATTGGAATTTACACAGCTACCAAAGCCATTAAGACAGATTTTCAACACCTAAAAATAGACCGAACACATACGCCATTATCAAGTATGATGAACTGAAAGCTAACACTCTTCAAGTGTCACTGGTTTGATGGTCAGTGTACCTGCTCTTACAAAAATATGAAATAGTGTATGAATGGTTGCCTAAACATATTCAGAAAGGGAAAAAAAATGTCCTAGAAAGGTAGAGCAAATTGTCTAAACTGCACCTAATCTTTAGAAGCAGAACACTCAAAATATACTTTATTTTTAACTTAGTTTAATAAATTATATTTTAATTGTAATTAAACTATGTGACAAGTCACTTTATATAGAATGCATGAAGTCTAAGAATTCTGCCACTTTTTTGATTCTACATTTTATTCTTCATTATACAAAGGAAACTATACTCAAGTGAATACAATCTAAAAATAACAAAATTAAATCCTTGTCAAAGCATATACACCTTTAACACATTATTTTTACTACACTTTCTGTAGGAAAGCCTACAAGCATCTAGTATGTCACTGGCAGAAAGTGTCTGTTCCATTAAAACACACTGACTTTAATGGAATAAATATAGCTCCTGCCAATTTCCCTACTTTCTGTTTAGTATTTCCATAATATCTGACTGTAAGACTGTATTACTTAACTCTGCCTCTCTCATGCAGTCCTTGTGTCTTCACACTTTGACTTCTGTCTCTAAAATACTGTAAGCAAAACTGTTTAAGACTCCCTTGCTAACAATGATTATCTATAAAACAGAAATGACAAATTATAGCTGAATTCTGTTTCAATGTAAATGTCTGCACTGTAGATTTTGTATATATTGACTTTAGCTTTACTCATCCTGCAGTTGTAAAAAGTACACACGCTTCTTAGCAACACTCTGAGACATAGCTTTGTTCTCCAAGGAACACACCTCTTAAAGTCAGGTTTCTGAACTATCCTTTTTTTGTTAGCTACTTAAGTGACAGTGTGCTTAAAAAAAAAAAAGCCTACATTTTGTTTTCAAGAGGAGCAAAGACTGGTAATAACACTCTCTTGAGATTGTTCATGCTACAAGTTACAGAATTTTGAGTTTATTAGTTTTTTACCTTTTAAATGTTGATACAAGTTACAGCAAAAAATAACAACATAAAATATAAAAGAAGCCAAGTCACTTGATAAATCAAAAAGAAATGAGCTATAGAAATGAGCAGGTAAACTTATATACTTATGTACCTACCAAGTCTCTTATAAGTACTTGAAGTGATACAAAGTACCACCTTGTCACTCTGCAACACTTCATTTTACTGAGGTATTGTTCTGTTGCTGCTGCTCTGCCAGTGCTTGCTGGAGGCGCATTCTTTTCCGTGAGTAGTGTTGCCAGTGAAGAATTTGTTGCTCATCAATAAATTTAGCACACTGAGCATTTACCAGTTCTTTGCGGAAGTGTTCATACTGGAGCAGCTCTAACATATGCAAACACTGAGGATACCTGTGTTAAAAATAAACAGATGCTTTACTAAGAGCTTTTACAAGGTACACTAAGACTGATGTCTCCAATAACTAGGCAGAGCATGATTTTTGTTTTTCATATATGTGCTTTACTCAAGTATCAAAACCCAAAATATAATGTTCCAGGCATTAATACATACCTTAAAAACTTAAATTTTATTGTAGGAAAGGAATGCAATAACATCAATCTAGAGATGCATACACATGCTTACATAGTGTAACTTTCCTACTAGATTTGGTTAAAATAAACATACATATCAGCTACAATATCTACTTCAAGAGCTCATTTAAAGAGCAAAACAGGAATTGTTTTCCAAAATGTAAGCGAGAGTGCAACAATAAGAAAAATGCAAAACCATCCTTTACATCATATAAGCAACAACTGAAATAAAAAAAAAAAAACCCCTCTCCAAACACAGCTACTGGACCTAACTGAAGTGTTTTTTTAAACAAATATTTTAAACAAATGCTAAACTGTAGCTGGTAGTTTGCAAAAGGAAGATTCACTGCACAGCTGATGAAAGACAAGTTCTATCATTTTATCTATCCTCTTATAGCTGGACCATTGGAAATAGCAAAACACAGTGGAGAAGGCAGAGGCAGGGTTACAGGCAGGAATCAAGCAATGACATATTGCTACATGGCAGCTAGCAAAAAGTGAGCAACACATTGAGTTTCACAATGCTAATTGATTTCAACACTTACTTTAGGTATTTTGCATATTCAGGTTCCTTCCAATAAAGTAAATATTTAAGATAATTTACAAAAGTTTTGTCTTTGAAGTAGCCTCTCTGTGCAAGGACTGAAATAAGATGACAAATAAGGAACTGTCAGTTAGAGATGTAAGAAAAAAAAAAAGTCTGTCAAACTTGAAAAGAATACATGCAAAAATACACAAAAAAAACCCTTGAGTTAAAATGTTAAGATTACAGTAAAATTTTTATCAAATCAAAATGAAATGAATACACAGGAAGAAAAGTATATTTTATGTCAGCATTCCAAGCATAAGAAGGCATTCACATCCCCCTTACAGTATCTGTCTTTCATAAAGCAATAAGGTAAAGAACAGATGTTTATAAGAATTTTTTTTTATTGTAGCATCAAAATTGACAGGAAAATTCAAGGGAGAAGTATAGTATCTGAAGCTACTATTAACACTGGTAAAAAACTGTTTTTGCATAACCCCCACCTGTTATAAATCTTGACCAACCCAGGTATTTATAAGCTACTTTTATCCTGTAAAAGCTAAATTCACTTTTCTGTGTTTAGCTTTATCAAAAACAGAGACCACTGATATTCATTTCTTAGGATGTTCACATTTACTTTGAAGTACTTACAGTTAAGATAATTTGGATTAGCCAGACATTGAACAAATTCCAACTCCAGCTGGAACCGCAGTCGATTTCCCGTATCATCTAATATACATAAGAAAAACAGTTAAGAACTGGACCCATGCAACAGATTTAGAAGTCAACTTTTCAGGTTGAGCAGCATGGAGACAGTAGGTTTAAAAAAAGGGTAGACAAAATAGTAATTTCCCATAATCAACATAAATTAATCTAGCAAAAGGTTCTTCATTACAATAATCAGTGTTGGACCTGCATTAATAAACATGGTGATTACAGCCAAACAAGATACAAGAAATGGAGGAAACCATACTAACTTATTTAAAATGAAGGAACAGGAGAGGCAAGGAACTTAGGATATTTATACAGAAAACATTTAACAGGGTGAGAAGGGAGAACAGCAAGCAGCCCACTGAAATCCTAATTTTATGTAACTGTAGCAGAAAAGCAGAGAAAGGCAGCACTTTTTCTCTAAGATGATGTCTTCAAATGGTACATGAGCAAACACTGCAATGTTCTCATGCTACAACATACACCAAACACTAGTGGTGACCCCCAAAAGGCTTGATGCTGGCTCCAGTATCAACACCTTTATTAGAGACTTTGAGGGGACAGAGCAAGTTTGCTGATCATAAAGAATAATATGGCACTGGCTGATACATCAGGTGTCTGGTTCAGCTGGAGGTTCAGCTCCAGCTCCCAGCTAGAACCACCAATGAGATCTAATATCAGGACAGAGATGGTCCTAAAGCAACTGCATCTAAACACACCTTTCTTTCTCTAAGAAGTTATCCAGGCACAGGTGCAAGTCGAGAGCCTACAGAGAACCGTGAGAACTACTGCTCTCCAGAGAAACAGAGCTCAACCTCTTGCAATAAAGTCAGATGGATGGACTAAAGGAAGCGCAGTCCCAGGCCTGCGGCTCGGAGCCCTGAGGTGACCTCGTAGCCTTGAGCTTCCAACGAAGTCTGGTCAGCAGTGCGAAAAAGGGGGAACTCGGGAGGAGTGCGGGGGGAGGGGCACCCAGGAGGAAACGGGGCCGCGGTGCAGAACACAAGGCAGAGCCCCTCCCGAGCCGCCGAGGTCTCACCTGCCTCCATGACGCACCTCCCACTGAGCGCCCAACCGGGACAAGATGGCGGCAGCCACACCCCGCACGGTCGGACGGAAGCCGGGTGGCTAGCGGCACTGTTGGGAGCTGGGAAGCCGGCGGTTGCCCAGCAACGGCGGCAGAGGCGGGACGCAGGCTGCGGCCCGCGCGGGAGCGTTGCCAGGGAAACGGGTTGTGGGTAGCGCCATTTTCCTACGGGAAAGCGTGCCCAGGCGGTGCTTATCGGTCACGGCTCGCAAACATGGTGACCGCGTTGCGGCCTCACCGGGTATGCTTATGGGCTTCATCACATCCCTCGCGAAAATGATCATAATCTTCATTCTTTGATTTCCAGAGTGAGGGAATGCGTAGTGCACAGAAAGATTACTTTTCACACACAGTGTTACACAGAGAAGCACAGAGGAGATTGACAGGATTATGAATTTTGATTGACAGGAATGTGATGAATTTGAGTGTGATGAGCTTCACCCCTTCCTCTTATGAGGGGCCACCTCCCACACACCCTTGCCCTAAGGACCTGCTTCCAGGTCTTTGGGAGCTGCTTGAACCAGGAC